TCCACATATGAAAGAGATTCAGTAAAAGTAGAAAGTATTATTTGTAACTTGATTTATATTGATGTAGGACAAAGGTCTGCTGTAAATCCCCAGGGAAGATTGGCTGCCAGGGGCCTGAGATCCTTACATAATTATAGGAGGTATCCAGTATCAGAGTCAATATTTAAATACAAAAGTAGTGGATGGGAAGATTTCAATAGTTGTGCTGCAATATTCAATTCTGCCTCCTTCCCTTTCCCAGCCCTCGTCCCATTGCAGACTGGCACTGAATTTCCCAAGATACTTTCAGAAAGAACAGGTTGTTGTCCTTTGCTTACTCGTTACATGCATGCCAGTTGTAATGCAGGGACTTTGAATTGATAGCAGAATGTAGTCAATAGTTTCCATTCTTTTGCTGCTTTTCTAGATGAAAAATGAGATATAAATCATTATGCCAGGATAACTACTCTGAGGTATGATCATGAAATAAATCAATCACCATAGTGTAGAAAAACACTTGGCAAGTGTCTACTAAGTGCTAGCATGAAGCAGTTAAGAGTTCATTCTCTAGATAGAACTATCCTACCTGAGTTAAGTTCCAGCTTTATCACTTACTGCCTGTGTGTTTTTGAGCAAGGTGCTTATCTTCTCTGTAACTCACTTTCTAAGGAGTTACATGCAGATAATAATAGTATATACCACATGAGGTGGTTATGAAATTAATGAGAGAATCTTGAAAAGTGTTTCCTAATTCATTGTTAGGAAACGAATGTTTCACATGACTCTGAGGATGCCAGGATGAGTGGACAGGCCAGTAGAAAGATAGATCCATGGGTAGATCATTTCAATACAGTGATTTTTAAAATTTCCAGATGAGGGTTGTCTTTTGAGTCCCTCTGTCACTTTGGACTGGGGTTGCTGAATGCAGCCATGAGTTCTGAAATCAAAGTGCTCATGCTTAAACCTATGTGTACTTTGTAATCAATTATGTGGCATTGGTGAGACTTCCATACAGAGCAGTGGTATAAGCCAAGTCAATATGGCTTGACTCCCCATAGATTGGTAGCAGAGTCATCTGGGTATGATGGAAAAGTGCCAATCATGATTTTCATGTTAGACTGACTGACAGCAAGGAACTCACCAAGTGTCTTAATATCATGCACCAAGCACTCTTTCAGTGTACTCCCCCTAGCCCATTGCATGCTCCAGGAAGCCTATGATGTACATAGAATTATCCTCATTTCACAGATAAGTCAATTGAGCTTCAGAGAGGTAAAATAATTTGCACAAGGTAACACAGCTGCTATGTGGTACAGCAGGAAAGCAAAGGATCTGCCCTAATAAGAACCAAGCCAGCAGTGTTCCAAAACCAAAAAAAAACATGGAAAGAAAAAAAGCTTCATAGGCAAAGCTGTGACTAGTTAGTTAGTAAGTATTCAAATTCCCCAGCTTTCAAGGGGTCTTGATTACAGACTTTTTTAATATATATAGGTTGTTTTAACAGTTTTAGTATAATTTGCATGAAGGGGAGTTCAGAAGTAAAATAATTCCTTTATGATAAATGCAATTTTTTTTAAGTCCTAAGAAATGATTTACCAATTTACAGAAACATCCTTCCTTCAATATACTTAAAAACAAAACAAAAAACAAGGCCCTGCATTCTGACGGGTCAGATTTTGTCCTATCATGGATCACATTCACCAAGCTATTTCTGATGCTGAAAGCCTTTTCAGGCATCAGAGTTCTTACAACAGGCTTAGGAGGGAGCTGTTCTCTCTTTGCTTCTCATGCCATCTAAGTCAGAAAGGCATTATTTACTAAGTTAGACTATTTCCCACAGAACAGAGCAGAAAGAAAACTGAAAGAGAGAGGGGCAATAGGACTTTTCTTTCTTAGCACACTCTTATCAATAGAGGATGGGTGACAATGACAGTAGGATCACTGGCTTGAAACTTGCTCCCAGCACTGCACACATAGGTAGGAGAAGTACCAGGTCTCTGAGACACTCCCAGGGACTGACATGGTCCAGACAGCGCCTTCTCCTCTCATATCCACCAGGGGGCGCACAAAACCTCTCAGAATGAGGAGTTGTAAGGACTAAATGTGACAATAGATGTAAAAGCTCCTGACTCAGGGTATGGCCCATTAACTGATAGGTTCTCCCTTTTCACACGTCCAAATTAACTAACACCAGAGTGAAAATAAGTTCACCTGGAGAGACCCAGTTGTCTCCTCAGGTGACAGTTCTTGTGGGTTCACAGCTTGTCTCCTGTGATTCAGGGCCTGTCCTGAAGAAAAAAGGATTCTGGGTCCATCCTCCCCAAACTGCTGACCTCATGTCTGCTGTTGATTCTTCACATCAGAACATAGCCCAGCCTCACAGAGAAGCTGCTTTGCAACCTTACCCAGAAGGGTGACTGGTCATTCCAACTAAGAAACATGGTGCCCTGTACTTACTGGTTTATTGTTCAGGCCTGTCAATATAAGGAGCAGCACCCAAAGGAGAGAGATCACTAGTCTAGAAGTCAGAAGCCCTGGATTCTACTCTTAGCTCCTCCACTTATCCCTTGAGTGGGTTAATAAGCAAGTCACTTCATGTTCCTGGGACTTAGTTTCTCCATTGGTAAAATGTTGAATATGTGTTAATCTGTAGATTCCCTTCCAGTTCTGTTGTTCTGTGATGATATTCCATTCCATTAGAGCCAAGTATGACCCAGGGATGATGGATTACACATGTTACATGCAAAACTTTTGTTGCTTTTTTTTAAAACCAAACTGATTATTATATTGTTTTCAGTTGCTTCAGACTATGTACCCAGCTGGATAAATACCTGTTTTCCTATTGGCTCACTGAAGCTTTTGTTCCATGGACCTTGTTAGACAATTTAAGGCCATTTTTAAATTTGGATGAGGAGACCAATTGTCTGGGAGATGTTAACCTTTATCCCAAAACTTGCTTGACATTTAATACATGAATAACTCATGGGATATCATATTTATTTGTCTAACTACCTTAACCCCACCATCATCTTCTTACTAATATTTTCAACTCTAAAATATGGGATATGCAGGGGAAGATGCAAGAGAATGGGCCCAGGACCTTCCCTGCACTCTGGGAACCATCACACATCTTTCAGAACCACACCTCTGTTTACTAGGTCACTGTGATCCGCTGGATTTCCACAGCAGTCACTAGGCAAGTTCAGTGGATCCAAGAAGACTTGACCTTTTCCCCCCTTCCAGCACTATACCAAAGGATTGAGATTGCTGAGGAATCTATGTAGGACAACAAGAGGGAGGTAACAAAGGCTGTTTTTTGCAATTGGTGTTTCTTCCAAGTAGGGCGGGCTCTCTTTCCTTTATTGTTAGAGTAGACCTGAAGCCCTTTGGATCCCTGGCAAGAATGGGGAGCTTTGTGAACTCCGGTTCACTCTTGAGGAGGACCTGTGGTGGGGTAATAGCCCTACCTCTGAACCTACAGAAGAGACAGAGAGGGGAGCATAGAGTAAGAGATACTTGAGGAATGGTCTTCCCTAGGCCGTCTTTGATTTAATTTATCCTGTATTTTCTCCAATGACAAAGGGCATGTTTATTCATAACATTTCAGAACTTCACAATTTCGGAAATGCTCAGTTATTTCAACCCACACAATAAGCCTATGTGATCAGCTGTGAGGGACATTTGAAGTGCTAACTTTCTTGGTTCTTACCAGTACACAAAGATACATCTTTTAGAAAAAGGCTGAATGTGCACCCAAAAGAGCCCCCAGCAATATGGCATTCACCTGGTACACTGAACATGTTTAAGATCCAGTCTCAGGCCATGTGGATCCAGAAGGGCACCTAGAAAAGGACCTGCATTAATCAAGTTCCTAGAGACTGAAATGTAAAAAGCTGGATGTTCGTGGATTAACTTACAGTGAGAAATGCAGCTGTTGGACCAACCAGAAGGCTTGAGTCAGCAGATAGGAACATTCTCTCCCAGTATGCTAATTATTTCAGAAGGCAGATTTTAATCAGAAGGCCAATTTATTCACTTAAAGTGAAAAATACAAATTTTAAAGAAACCAGATGTTCATGCTAGCCCAGCTTCTCCTGACAGATAAACTACACCAGAAACCAAATTAGAAGATTGCTTAGGGAGTAGGGAATCAGAGAAAGAGGCATTTGTCAGTCCTAAGGTGTGTCTTTCAGAAGCTTGAGGGAACCCTCCACCCCATAGAAGGAATAACTTTGCCAAGAAAACTGTAATGCTTAAGTCTGGAGATCTAAGCCTTCCTCTCCCTGCACTAGGCATGGGCGGGTACTGCCAATGCTGGCCTTGGCAGCTTTCCATTTTCATTGCTTCTGTTTCCCATAGTCCTTATCCGAACAGGATTACAATATAAATAATTGGTTTTCTGCTTACTTTCTGGGATTGCTCCCAAATGATCTCAATTGGAATTTTTAGTGTTCCAAAATTCGTTAGTCACACATTTATAAACAAGTGTCTTGGTTTCCTAGCACAGATGGCTAATCCAGTTCACTAAGTGTAGACTTTACTAGTTTAGCTCTTGAAAATCTGGTTTTTGTTTTGTGAGCATCATTGCACTTTCTCTATTAAAGTCTGTGCATATGTGTGTGTATGTGTCTATACGTGTATGAATTTCACAAATTTAGAAATGGAGATTCAGAGGGACTGAGTACCTTGGCCTAGGTCACACAGCTGGTGATTGGTAGAGCTGGAACTCAAACACAGATCTGAGTTCAGATCCCATTCTTGTTCCATTGGAGGTAACTGAATTTTCTTCTATGTTTTGAAGCAAGAAAGGAAAATCAGGTGTTTTTAAAAATTAGTTTTAAAAAATATTAACTGGTATATTTTTCTAAATGGTGGAGGTGGGCAGAGGCAGTTTAGTGTTCAGTGGAAGAGATAAGAAATGCAAATTAAAAGGATGGAGCCATTTGCTGCAGGGGGCCAGGCACAGAGCTTCCAGTGACTTTGTTGAGAGTACACAGTAAGGTGGATATGTTTTTTTACAGAATCTGAGTTTATCAGAGGCAAGAGGAAAAATCCTCCACTATCTGGTGACCTTGCAAGAGGAGGCAGCAGGGAAAGCCACACTACAAAACATCACTGAACATGCCTCCTGGACATGGGTCATTCCTAGAACTGGAAACTGGGCTGTGGCTGTGGAGGCAGCTAATTCAAAGGGCAATTCCCTGCCCACTCGTATTAACATAACAGACCTGTGTGGGGCAGGTGAGTACCAACTTTTCTTTAATATTATCTGTGGGAAACTGTCCTACTCAACCCATCTTCTGCAGCCTCAGCTCAGGGTCTGGCATGAGTGCACAGGAGTTTAGACTTTGGAGTCAGCAGCCTTTAGAGGCTGTCTTTTCCACTCAGCCTATGAGTGGCCTTGGACAAGTGAATTAACAACTCCAATTTCTCTCTCTACAATAGAGGTTATATTACCTGTCTTGCGGGTCATTGTGATATTAAATACAGAGACTAATACTTATCAGGTGCTTGATACGTGTTAGTTAAGGAAATATTAAGAGTTACATTAAATTGAACACTAATAGCTAGATGATTTTTTCAGAACAAGAATAATATATGTCACCAAATTCTTGAAAAAGCATTTTATATATAAAGTCAAAACATTTTAAAATCAATAGTATTAAAATGAAATTCTGGCTGTTAAATTGAAACTGTAGTAAAATTTTACTACACTACAGCTCTTTAAACACACATCTAGATGGGCATCCAGTTGTCTACATTGAAAATCTCCAACTAGCTATACACATTTTACAATTCTATCCTCTGAAAACCCATGATGAGTCAAGGATAAAAGCCCATGATTAGTCAAGAAAAAGGATATTAATGCTATTTCTCAACATTTATGTTACTACAGGATTCCATGTCAAGATCATTGGCCTGACTTTTTCCAAAAATACCTAATGGAATAAAAATATAATTAGGTCCTTCCTTAAAATGCACTGTAATAACTTTATCTACATGTAAATCTAGCAATCATCATTTTGAAGAAGCTTCTACCAAAGCATGATCATTTTATATACATTGTAAAATCTTGATTATATATCTTATCAGCCATTTACCTATATATAAGCATAGAGATAATAAAGTAGATGAAAATAAATAGAAGAAAATACAAGTAAATATTGATATAATCTTGAGTTGGTATATGAATTGAGAGTTGCTCTTAGAAATAAGGGTTGCTCTTACCAGGGCCTGACCACAGTGATGTATTTATCTTCTCACGTAAGAGGAGTTCAGAGGTAGACAGCCCAGGGCTGGTGTGAGAGCTTCGTGGCATAATCAGGACTCCAGCCTCCTTCTTTCTGCCATACTGCTTTCCAGCCTTAAAATGGAAATAATCCAGAATGGCTGCTGGAGCTCTACTATTTCCCTTCAAGCATAAGAGAAGAAGAAAGAGAGAAGGGCACACCCCTTACTCTTGAGGAGCTTTGCCTCAAGTCACACAGCACACTTGCAGGAATAACTGGTCACCTGGCCACACCCAGCTGCAGAGAGGTTCAGAAATAAATTAAGACAGCAGTGTTCCCTTGCTATAGAAGATGAGGAGACAATATCTGGTAGGCAACTGGTAATCTCTGCCTCAAAAGGAGTCAGTACTTTAAGGCAGAAACCTGAAGGAAAAGAGGGTTAACTACAGGAAAAAAAAGCTAAGTAAAATAAAAAAGTAAAATAAAAAAATAAAAATAAAAAAAATTTAAATGCCAAAGTGTAAATGACAACTTAAGAAAAGTGTATATTACATTTTTGGCAAAAAGGTGATTGATTATCTGTCTATCATCTAAGTTTTCCAAATAAGTAAGAGATTGGGAGATATGAAAGGCAACTGAAAAAATAAATATAAAAAGGCAATAAAGATATGAAAATATGATCAGTCTAAGTAGCAATCACTGACATGCAAATTTTGAAAGACTATGAGAAACCAAATCAGATTGAGTCAGAGTAAGTGGAATTAGTATAACTCATGTTGGCAAGAGTGTGGGGACAAGATACTCTTGTACGCTGCTGGGGGGGGAGGGGTGTAAATTGGTGCTACTTTCTGAAGAAAATTTGACCATGTGTGACAAACCTTAACTATGAGCATAACTTTTGACTGAGAACTTTTACCATTAGAAATTTATCCTCAGCAAATAATAAAATATAGGTACAAAGTGCTTAAAATATAGGTACAAAGATGTTTGTTAAAAAATTTTGAAATATGGAAATACCAAAAACAACCTAAATGTAAAATAACAGAGGATGGACTGGTTGAGTATATCATGACCGTCACCTGCCATAATCCCACATTAGCACTAAAATGATGTTGTAATTATGTTTTTATCGACATGGAAAGATGCACATAAAGTAAAAAGGCAGGCTTTCAGTACTAGATATGGGATGATGCCATTCAAAACACATATTTACATGAGTACACATTTTTGCATAGTAAAAAAATCCAATTGAGTATATATGAAAATGTTAATAAAGTCATCACTGCATTATGAGATTTCAGATGATTTTCCTTCCCTTTTGCTTTTTATATTTTTAAGTTTTTTCTTCAGTGGATAAAAACGACATATGTTTTTATAATGAATTCTATGGGAAAAATTGAACTCATACCGCTGCTTGGTATCATGCTGTTGTTAAAACGTAACATGTGATAATACTTTACTTCTTCAAACTCACTGCAGATAAATCTTGAGGATACAAACCTCATGAATTTTCTGGACCTATTCCAGGTTCTTTATTTAGATTCAGTAACAACTTCTAAAAAATGACACATTCATTACTTTAGAGTTGATCTCACTTCATTCATTCAACATTTATTGAGCATATAATAAGACAACTGGAATCCAGCAATAGGTAAAAAATCCTGTTGAGGTCCCCCAGTTGTATTTAGTCAAGTAGGAGAAGCAGACATATAAGCAAGTAAACCATAGTATAGTATAGTGAGTGTGAGATTAGAGGTATGCACAGGAAACTCCAGGAAGAGAAAAGCCAAAGCATGGACCTGGAGAGGAGGTGACATGTGAGTAAAGCATGGAGAAAGTTGGTGTTAGCTAGGTAAAGAAGTACAGATGTGCAAATGTGAGGGTTTGTTTTAAAGTGAGATGTGAGTGGGCATATATATTGTAAAAAAGTATCAGGTGGGGATGAGTTTGAAGATAGAGGGGAGAGAAGGGATAATTAATGGAATGAAATCCCTGGAGAACTGGAAGATGATGGGATCCAATGACAAAAATAGTTAAGAGGACTACTACTCCTCAGAATGGACAGCATTAAATAAGGACATGGCTCAGTTAGGATGAGCATGTAGGGGAGGGAAAGTAGGAAATGAAACAGTTCTCTGGAACTGAGCTGCAGCTGAGAGGTCCTGGTCCTGGAAATCATGGAATTTCAAGAGCTATTGCCTCTCCTTAGACCATACTTGAAGTAGTTGTGAATCCCACAGTGACCCCTGGAAGGCAGATTGGGAAGTCACATGGTCCCATCCTTCAGCACCCTTCTTACAAATATTCTGAATGACCTGTAGGAAGAATGCACCATAATTTTGTGTCTCCCTCTCTTTCAATATATGTTCACACTACTGACATATATAACTTTCCTTCTAGGCCGGGAAAAATAATGCCCCAGCAGGCAGAATTATGTTGATTTTGAGTAAGTAGGGACAACTTTATTGTAAAAGGCACCTGCCACAGCATTGCATATCAAGAAACAGAAGAATTATGTTGTTGGTTTATGATGAAAATTGAATGTGTGCTAAATCCATCAGTCAGCAAGTAAAAAATGTATTTAATATTTCAGACCAGCCCGTGCTCTGGAATTCTTGAAATTACTGAAAGAATCAGAAGCCAGTTGTGTCATAGAGGCCCACAAAGGTAATGGATACTGAGGCCTAGGAGGTGAAGTAATGAGCTGATATCATAACTGGTAGCAGAGCAAGACCAAAAACACTAACCCACCTGTATCTTAGTTGGGCAATTTTTCCAAATAACTTATTTGGAAGCATAATTCTTCTGTTTCTTGATATGCAACTTCATAACTTGATTCAGAAGCCCTCGGTAAAAATAGAGATGGGAAGCTAAGTGATTGAGGCTAAAGGAGTAATTGTGGAAGGTGATAGAGAAAAGGTGAGTAGTCAGCAGAGTTCTGAAGGAGAGAACATGCCCTGGCAAACATCACGGTTGGAGGAAGTCCAGGTGGGTTCCTGGCAAGTGTGGTGACTCAGAGACAGGGCAATGCCAACTTGATTTGCTCAGCTAATTCCAGAGAAAGCAGTAGTTAGAAAGGTTCTTTGGCTATTAGCCCATCATCTGGCAAAAGGTCTTTCAAACTGTAGGTGCTCAATATTTACTGAATTAATACATTTCATTCTAAAAAAAAAAGGGAAGGAAGGACAGAAGGAAAGAGAGGTGGGAGGGAAGAAAGGAAGGAGGGAGGGAAGGAAGGAGGGAGGGAAGGAAGGAAGGAAGGAAATCCCGTGGCATAGCCAGGACATCAAATACCAAGGCAAGGAACCCCTGCTGGGGGATGCCAGTCCCTGGCAAGATGGCCATACACAGGTTACTGGCTCACACCACCAAGTCAGGCTCTGAGGCCACTGCAGGAGGAGCATGGGTGGCTGAATGCCTGCGCAATGAGGAGCAGTGATGAAGGGGGAGAATTGAAGTGGGACTTTCTGGCTGCACTCCTTTTTCTTGCCCATGTTGCCCTGATACAATCATTGCCCTGGCATTTCTATTATAGGGCAAGGAAGCCCAGATAGCAGGGCACAGTAACTTCAAAAAAAATCCTGGAACCTAACTAGGGAGGGGATCTGAGAGGAAAGAGTACGTGTGAGCTAGATGTCCCTTGAGATTTCTCCTACCACTCACCCCATGGTCCTGGCAGTTAAAAAGAGAGTAACAGCTCTGCTCCCCGATGAAGATCAGTGCCAACCATAGAGGCACGAGTAGGTTCCAGAGGTGCCAGGCGCACCCATGGGGAACCTGGGGACAGGTAGAGCACTTAGGCTGCATCACTATAGGCTCTGTGGCTTGGAGCTTTCCACCATGAAAAGCACCTCCTCCCCATGTAAACTTAACTGGAGGAGCATGAGTTACAGCTAAGCTTTCACTGCTTCCCCACAGAAAAATAAAGGCTAAGACTGTTGATCAGTCCACAAAAATAAGACATGATCCCAAAGGAGAAATCTGAGGGATGCAAGTTCTGGGAAAGAACGGCAACAAACGGAACAACCTAACCATAAGAAATATAACAGAAAGGACAAGAGCTTAAAATAAGTGTAATAAGTATCCTTAGAAAGACAAGAGAGGGTGCTAGAAACATGAATCAGTAATAAGTGGTTGTGAAGAAGCCCCAGATAAAGAGATTCAGTATGGGAAGTTTAATTGTTGAAATAAAGAACTTGGCCAGTGGGTTGGACAACAGAAAGGACTCATCTGAAGACTGATGAGTAAGTAGAAGACTGGTTGAAAGGCATCAAAAATGGGAAAAGAAGTTGAAAGTGGGAAAGTTTAAAACACTAAAAGAATAGAAGAAGTAATGACAACCACCTAAAAGGAGTCCTAGTAAGAGAAAAAAAGTAAGTGAAAGGAAAAAAATACCTGGAAATATTGATCAAGAACCTTACAGACCGTACCACTCTGGGACATGTAGGATGTTGGTAGTGGGGGGATGCTCTGCCTGTGTGGGGGCAGGGAGTATATGGAAAATCTCTGTGCCTTCCTCTTATTTTGTTGTAACTTAAAACTGCTCTTTCTAAAACTTCTGCAAAAGAATTTCTGCCAAAAAAAAAAAAAAAAGTTAGTGCAGAATGATCAAGTAGCATTGATACCAAGAATGCAAAGATGGATCAATATCAGAAAAATACATCAATGTAATTCATCACATTAATGTTGAAGGAGAAGAAAAGGATATGTTATTAACAGATGTAGGAGATTATTCAGTAAAAATAGTTTTTAGAAAATAAACAGTATTTTATGAAATAAACCTATTTGAAAACTGAAAAAAACTTTTTAGTTTTAGGCACATTCTTTTTAAATTAGCAACAGATAAAAACAAAAATAAGGTAACAGCTTTAATTTAAAGATTGGAAGGAGATATTTTAAATGTGCAGCTAAAAAGATTACTACATGGAAAATTCAACAAGGGCAGTAGACAAATTATTAGAACTAATTAGAGAGTTTATCAGGTTTGCCAGAAATAAGGATAACACACACAAACTGATAGTAGAAAATAAGATGCCATTTAAATAACAAACTAAAACTGTAAGTCGTCTAGGAATTAATCTAATAAAGAATGCATGAAAACTTTAAGGAGGAATTTTAAAAACTCATTAAAAGATATAAAAGGAAAGCTGAGTAATTTCAGTGAAACAGCATATTTATGAATGGAACACTCTAACAGTGTAGCAGCATCAGTTCTCCCTGAATTAAACTATAAATTTAACTTAATTCCAATGAAATATCAGCTGGAATTTTGGGGGAATCTGACAAACTAATTTGAAAAGCTATATGGAGAATAAAGTTTCATTTATATCCAAGACCACTTTGAAAAAAGAAGAGCAAAATGAGGAGGGGACTTGACCAACAAAATAGTCAGACATCACAAAGCCTAGTGATATGAACAGTGTGTTCTAGTAAAGAAGCTGACACAGACACAGGCCCAAGAACATATTGAACTTAGTGTATGTTAAGGGGATGGTATCACATTTGGAGAAGTTGACTCAGTGTAAGGAAACAAAAATGTGTTCCCTTAAAAAAAAAAAGCTTTTCAGCTAGATTTGGATTGAAAAAACCTAAATGTGAAAAGTAAAATCAAAAACCAATAGAAGAAAATGTGATTGAGTATCTTTGTGGCCTCAGTATGGAGGGATTTTATAAACAAGACTCAAAATAAACAAACCCTGGATAAATTTTTCTACATCAAAGTTAGTATTTATGTTCAAAAGCATCATAAAGGTATCAGTTGAAAGACAGGACTAAGATATTTTTAGTATTGAAAACTGACAAGTGATTGATATCTAGAATATAAAAGCTATTTCTGTAAATCAGAGAGGAGACAGGAAACTCAACAGAAAAAAATGCACTAAGTATATGAATAGGTAGTTACCAGAAGGGGTAAGTCAGAAAGCTAAGAATATATGATGAGAAGGTCAGCCTCATGAAGAATCAGAAACGAAAATAAAACCACAACAAATACCGCTTTTTCTGTACAAAATTAGCAAAAACTAGAAAATCAGAAAATAACAAATGTTGATGGGGAAATGAGAACCCTCATGCTTGTCTTGGTGGAGTGTCAACTGATTGGCTATTTTAGAGGTCAATTTGACTGTATTTAGTAAAATAATATGTGAATTTACTCTATAATTGAGCAATTCTAGAGACACTCTTGCACAGGCACATGAGGACATGCATGAGAATGTTCACTGCATCCTTGTTTCTGTTAGAAAAGATTAAACAAATCTTTGGAAGGAACCTCCTACTTGTCACTTGGAGACTGGATAAAAGGTTGAGGCAGTAGTCTCAAAGAATGAACTAGATTTACATATAGCAGCAGGAGGCCTATCCCAGAAACAAAATATTGAGTGAAAAATAAGTTAGAAAAAGCAGAATATTTCCTCCCAACATGTGTCATGAAAATACAACACATAAGACAAAGGCAACACTAATTTTCAAAGATACATGTATACCTACAGAAACATATGGAAGGTGGATTAGAAGGATGCATATCATACTCATTAAAACAGGTACCTTTGGGAACTCAGAAATGGAAAGTGAAGAGGAAGAGGAAGGGGAAAATAATTCTATAAATAACACTACACACGGTCCTTGCACGGATGCCAGTTCTCCAAGAACTGAGAAGTAGGCTGAACAAATCTGTGCACCTGAGGTCTTTAAAAAACAATTAGTTTTCCCTAAAACTTTGCTGGGATGAGTTGTTTTTTATATTTTTATCCACTGTGATTTTGTTTTTATCTCCTTTTCTCCCATAAAGGGTTGTTGGCTCCTCGCCAGGTCTCTGCAAACTCTGAGGGGATGGACAACATTCTGGTGACATGGGAACCTCCTGGAAAAGCTGCCCCGGCTGTCCAGGAGTATGTGGTAGAATGGAGAGAACTTCACTCTGGGGGCAGCATGCAGCCCCCTCTAAACTGGCTGCGGAGTCCCCCCTACAATGTGTCTGCTCTGATTTCAGGTAATCGTTCACCTTCCTTGTGGAGAGTTACTAAGTTCACAACTTTTGAGGAAATTTCAGGCAGGAACCCAGAACCTTGCCTTTAATTATAGGCACCTGCATGAGAATAGGGACAGTGATGACAGTATGCGATGAATAATTGAACCAAACAAGCATGGCTGAGAGCTAAGTGGTGACCAATCAGTCTGATGGCCACCTTACATTAAGGAGTTCATGTAATTCTCAGAACAAGTGTGTGCAGCAAGAGTAATTATATACCCATTATACAAAGAGGAAATCAGGAGGGCTTTCATTTATGATTCTGTTATTATTTGTGATAATAAATCCAGAATTATCTACATGATAACTGGTGTCTCTAGTCTTAACTCCAAATCTGTCAGTGGTTACAATCAAGTGATAGAAAGCATCTGAAAACATATTAAAATGATTGGACAGAACTTAGTCAATGTCATTTTCAAGTGTAAGTTCAATGTAGTAGTTAAAAGTGCTGGTTCTGGGTTTGAGTCCTGCCTCTTGAGTCCTAGTCACTTAGTAGGTTGTGTGATCAATGGCAAATAATTTAACGTCTCTGTGCTTCAGTTTCCTTATCTGTTAAATGGGCTAATAGTATTACCTACTTCATTGGGTTATGGTGAAGACTAACTGAATTAATATAATGTAGAGAAAACGTTTTGAACAACAGTGCCTGACACATTTTAAGTGCTTGATAATTTAGCTATCACTATTAGTATTATTATTATATGTGACAGAGCTGAGATTTCATTAGGTTTTCAAACTCTGAATTCCATAATATTTCATTTCACCATGACAATCATTACACCTGTCCCAGAGGCTATGCAGGCCCTGCCTAAGGAAACAAGGCAAATGAAATAAGCTGAGCACACTGCATAATAACAAGCCTGTCCTTAATAGTGTACCTCTTTTATAGTCAAGCTGCTCAGATTCCTGATCGGTTGTATTCAGTTTTAGTCACTACACTTAAAGAGAATGCTACCTAGATAATCCCAGTGAGCATCAGACGAAGGTGAGCAAGTCATCAGAGGTCAGGAACTTTTAAGGTAGAAACCATTTAGCCTGTAGAAGAGAATTCTAGATGGGCGTAGGATGGTTTGGTGGGTATTGCTGGCTGTGAGAAAGAGTATGTGTCCTTTGTTGCCTGGAGAGCAAACCAAGGACCCTGCATAAAAATCATCAGAATGCAGATGTCAGCTCAGTTCTGAGAAAGAACTTTCCTTACATCTGATGGTCTCTAATAGGACAGTTGATAGCCCCTCAATGAATTGTGTTCTCTGTCCCTAGAGATGTTGCAGTAGAACCAGTTTTCCTTTAGAGCTGTTATCCCCATTAAATCAGATGAAACAGTGGATAGTAAAGGCATTTACTGAACTCTAAACTGCTACAAAATTGTAAATGCTTATTATGAACTGTACTGGGATTTACCCCATGGGATACTTTGAACCATGTAGTCCGCATAGTTCCTTCCTTTTAGAAATCCTGTAATTCCACACAAGTACCATAAAAATAGATGACAAAAGATAATGTTCTCCATACCTAAGAAACTAAAATGTTTTTTAAGCCCTTTAAAAATAAATCAATATAATACTAGGTAAAATAACTTTATTTATTAAATTTCTCTCCTATTTAAAACCACTTGGTTAGCTATTTTTGTTGATGGCACATTCTTGAAATAAACACTTAAGAAGCTAAGCAATTCCTACTTACCATGAATTCAAAGTGACCCTTTCCAGGCAGTAAGACGACTCTGCTATAGGATCCTAGCATCTGGCTCGGGCAGATTTGGGTGTTTTGGGGGCCCAGAATACAGTCCAACTCTTGAATTATAGGTTGCTAGGGCCTGGAGACCATCAGTTGTGTCTTGTCTGGGTGAAAACTGTTCTGACCACATAGATCCTATCCTTTTAAACATCTGAAGACATCACGGTGTCTAGAAAACCTTCCCTGATGCCTAGGCTATCGAGGTCCCTCTTGTGCATGCTCCCATGGTATTTCCTCTATGTTTGGTCCTCATTACTGACCATTCAGTGTTTGCCTTTTCCCACACTTCTAGGTGAAATTAGCTTTCTGCAGGAAACCCACCTAAGTGATGGTTTTAAACATGGAGACTGAGCCTTTGTCCAAGGGTGGCAGGTATACCTGTGTATGCACGGGAATAGTAGGGAATGAGACTGAAGCTGGGGCCAGACTGTATAAAGAAATAAAAATCTTAGAAGTGTGGGCTTCATGCAGTGGGCAGCAAGGCTAAAGAATTTTTGAGGTGGGGAGCAGACATGATTAGTGAGCACTCATTAAAATTAGCCAGTTAAACAGGAATCTTAGGTCATAACTGTGGGGAACAGGCTTGCTAGAGCTCTACTATTCATGAGAAGGGAAATGTCTATCAAGTTATGGAGCCACGTTTTCTTCCCTCCTCCACTAGGGTAGGCTGTTCACAAGAAGCAGCTCACAGCTTCTGATGCAGCGGCCTCTGCCCTAAACTCACATTTTGTATGGCAAAACACAATGCGACTGTTTGCTTAATGAGCTGTTCTGGAACTGCCATTCTTCCATATGGCACAGTAGTTGGTTGGACCCTTCCAGGAATAGAAGTAGCAGTCAGATGCTGGCCCCTCCCAAGAAATATGATGCCATATTCCATGTGGCCTTTTGAGCTTCTGGGTCTGAATCCCACCCGTGAAGAATCTTTGGATTACTAGACTAAACTGACTGCATCCTTTTCTCATTTTCACTTGGTTCATGAATACAAATTGGAACTCAACCATGACACCCATATCTGAGCATTGTATAGATCTACTTGCTGGCATAGTAAAGGGACAATGTAGTAAACTATTCTGTGATGTAAACTTCCTCTTTCTAAAAAAGGAAATGTTACATTTTAATCAGTTGTCAGTATAGGGAATCATATATACCTATGATAGAGCATTCAACAATATGGGAGAGTCCTTACTCTGACCACATGATACTGTGGCTACCTAGTAGGGTAAATTTTCATTGGGAATTTAACTATAAGGAAGTATTAACATTCCCATGTATCTTCCAAGTCTTCCAAATCTTCCAGGCTGTCATCTGAGATCTAACTGGAATGTGGTGGGGGAAGCAAGGGTGGAGGGGAAGGAATGGGGGGGTTGGACAGCACTGAGCATGCCCTGCTTAGTCGCAACCAAATGGGTCATCCTGGCTGCCCTCTCAGATGTTGATAAGCATCTATGGAATTAGAAGAGCTGCTTAGGTTCTGTTCAAGACACCTGCCTCACTTTCTGTAAACAGAAAATGATTTATTTTTAGAAGTCAAAGCTGTTTTCCTTGAAGGTGAATTTTGTTTCAAAAGCAGTCTGTGTAGTTATATTTAAATCCTCCTTGGAACTGGAATACTTCTGTCTCCTTATTCGTGGTAACTCTGGAGAGCAACTAAGGTCTGCTTATTTATTCACCATGATGTGAACGTGGGAGTTGGGAGCAATGGTTTTCTGAAACCAGTTTGCTTAGATTTTGTAACTTAGGTCATTCCTTTGCCCTCAGTCCAATTGTATTTGAACCATCTTCAAACTAAGAAGAGGCAAGAAATGCTTTGAATGCATCATATCCTATATTTAAATGGCTCCCTTTAATGACTCACATGTGATGTCATCCCTGTTATAAGAACTCCCTTTTCCTTGCAGAGAACATAAACCCCTACATCTGTTATGAAATCTCCGTGTATGCACTGTCAGGGCACCAGGGAGGATGCAGCTCTATCCAGGGTAACTCTGAGCACAAAGGTGAGTCTTGGGACCTTTTGCCAAAATTTCTTTAGTTTTAATGGTTTGGATTTGGATGATGACAGAAGCCTCCTGTGTCCTACTTTACAGCACCACTGAGTGGCCCCAATATTAATGCCATCTTAGAGGAAAAGGGGAACATTTTAATTTCATGGGATGAAATTCCAGCCCAGGAGCAAAGGGGCTGCATCCTCCATTACAGGATATATTGGAAGGAACGGAACTCCAGTTCCCAGCCTCAACTTTGTGGTATGTGTGAGAAATGCAGTGGGACCTTTCTTGTTAAATGTCAGGAAAACACAAGCATGTGTATGTACATATATACACCCACACAAGTGCTAAGTGCTCAATAAATATTTGTGAAACTAACTGAAGAAAAATAAAAGACATGTACATATACACACACACACAAAGTTACTGAATGTAATGTTATATGCCAAGCAAATTGAAATTAAGATAATGGACTAAGCTCTCAAGGAGCTTATTCACATGGGGAGATGGCATTTCAAAAAGCAATTAAGGCACTTCAGTACTATTACATGGACCCTTGAGGTTTTCAAGGAATGCATTTGGAGAACTTTTAAATCCCCGCACTTGCAAATACCATCATAGAATAATCTCCTTAAAATGGATAAATACAGTACAACTTAACTCCTTAGGACCCATAATTATCCCATAACTATAAGACGAAGGCAGTTAAATTCTGGCTGAAGCATTATCTCAAGTGATTTCATTTCATTTCTGTAGCAGCTCCAGATCACTTGCCAGATTTCATGTCCTTACCTTCAATGATTTTAGAGTTTTGGGTTTTTTTTTTCCTGGCTTGAACTTCTCTTTCATGGGCATCTGACTTTCTTTCAGGAGCATTTATCATAAAGAAGAAACATTCTTATTCCTTTGTGAGAGCTGTTAGGTTCAAGAAGAATGTCACAAAGCTGCCCTGAGGTGCAGACCCAGATAGCTGTCTGCAAGAAAGATTTTTACCCGGGAAATTGTAGGAGACTTTAAGGTCCATTCTCTTGGCCTTAGAAGATCTGCAGTATTGCTTTTCTAAAGTTATGACTTTGAAAACTAGCTATTTTTTTATTATATGAATAATACTTACACGTGATAAAAGCATCCAAATAGTTAAAAAAGATAGAAAATGGAAACCACCCTTTCCTCCGAACTTAGGCTGTTAGCAGTTCTTTGTGTTTTTCTTCCAGAAAAACCTTAACACATGTATAAGCAGATACTTGGCACAATCATTTGTATCATGGTCTGCACCTTGCTTTTACAAAACTCAGGAAGGCACACTGCCGATCTTCCCACATCAGTTCATATGGATGTGCATCCTTCTTCCTTAACAGCTCTCTGGTTATAAGTCCTTAGAGCCATTTACTTAAATAATCCACCACTGATAAACAGAACATATCATTGAACAGAACTGCTTCCCATTGGGCCTGCTGGGATAAATCAGTTCTGAAATGTACCTCAAAAAGTGATGAATCAGTTGATCTCTTCATGGGCCACTTGAAAGTCATATGAAATTTGCTACCCACCAAATTTTCATTATGGCAGATTTAAACCAGTCAGCACAGTCAGTTCATTCTTAAAGCTGTTGTAGATAGTGAAGAAAATAGCTACCATGGTTTTGCCACAAATTTGATGACTCTAAAGTCTACATAAGGGTATTTTAAAATAAGTTAAAAGGGAAGGAGTCATAGATTCAAAGTCGTATTTTATACCAGTTTAGAATGTTCCCTTTAATTCAGTATGCACCTACTGATGAATAAGATCTATTCCCTATCTTTAGACAGCTCACAGTCTACCAAGGGAGATGGAAAAGTACACAGAAGTGATGTAACTGCTATAATCAAGGACTGACAACTGCCTGCGGCGTTTGGCAACCAGAAATCATTGGTGAATTCACAAGTGCTGTTTTGGGAGAGTAGTAGAGGTCGATTGGTTGAAGAAGAGGGAAAAAGACCCCCGAGATGCACCACAACAGCAAAAAGGAGAATGGGGCTCCAAGGAGGAAGGGGCCCTGTCCTGTGTGTCTTGGCACTGTCCACGGGGTGGCACACGCAGAGAGCGGTAGGAGCACTGAGCCCTGCCTGGGCAGGAGAAGCGACAGATAGAAGTGGGCTGGAGCCGCTGCCTTTCAGTGCATTCTGCAAGGGATGCCTGAGCACCACTCCTCTGGAAGTTTGTTGATACAGCCATGTGTGCCAATAGCACACTTCCTACTGGGAACACATTGCTACTTGGCTGCTTTTGCCAACAGACTGTAAGCATCATGAGGGCAGAAACCATGGCAATTTGCTCACCATTATCTCCCTGTACCTTACAGGGCTGCCAGGCACACAGTAGCTGCTTAATAAAAACAATATTTGTTGAATAACAAATGGGTGAATAATGCCCTACACTTTGTTAAACCACTGAAGATTGTTAGATAAAAAAGTGAGTTTCTGGGAACAATGCAGCTGTTTTGCTCTTTGACCTTCTTACCTGCAGCCTTTCAGATGACTGGCCACTATCACATCTTCCTAAACTGGTACCTTTCTCATTTAACCACCCTGAGCCTAAAGTTTCTGACTGCCAAAGATTGAAAGGCTCCCTTTATCTGTGCCAGTGAGCACAGCCCAGATCAAGGCTACAGAACTAGTATTTCCTGCAAGACTTCTTTCTCCCATTACTCAACTCGACCTATTTAGCCACCCAAACTGCTGACACCATCACCCTCCTCACTGCTCCCCAGAGTTTCTATTTTATTCTTCAAATATACATGTATGTATGTGTGTGTATAAACACTTTTGGCCCAGCAAACCATTCAGATCCCTTCCCTGTGCTCCAGCACCTCATCCCACTGCAGAGCTAAGGATGCCCTCACATAGCTGTGCTGTTGATTTCCGGATGTTCTCTAATGCTTTGCTGCAGTGAGATAAGCAGAAGGTCTCTCCAAATTTAATTTTTTAATCCCCTGCCTTAGGAATAAGGAAAGAGATTTTTGAGTTTAATCATGTAGCTTAAGTCTTTCATCAGGTTACGGTAAGCTTGGCAATTTTCCACATGGTACTTTTTGCAACAGGGTGTAAAATACAGAAATTGCTCTGATAGTCACAGCTGTTAAATGATCTGCTCAGGGCTCAGCCCCTTCGGGTGGAGGGGATGTAATAATAGAGGAATCCATCTAACTGGTCACCCACAATAAAGAGAGGTGGGGGAGTAGAAGGGATCTGTTTTCCCCTTTAAGATGGTGGACTCTGAGGCAGATTCTGTGCCTTTGGATATTCAGTGCCTTGTCCAGAGCAAACTCCCTATAAATATTTGCGACTACTGAAATAAATTCAGCAAACATGGGCATTGTCTGACTTGCCCTGGGGTTTGTGAGCCAGTAAATGATGTTGAGACACAAAATACTGACTTCTAGTTTCCATTTTGATCACCAGCACAGGCACAGATCAGCTGAGCAAGCCAGCAGGCTCCTCCTGCCAAAGTTCAGACCTTGAATTTTTACAATCTTCACTCCCAGCTTTTGAGAGGTTAATCCAAAACACACCTAGCAGGCCACTGGAGAAGACTGCCCATTTTACCAAATGCTGCCAACACTCCTGTTTCTTGGAGGAGAAAAACAGCATTAAGCACATTGCTCAAAAAACAAAATCTCTCCTGCTAAGAATTTGCAGGAGTGTTGAGAGCATAAGGAACTGATAATTGAGTTTAAATTGCCAAAATAAATCTAAGAGCCATTACTCTTGTTTTCAGATTTTTATCTCAAATTGAACCAGACTGTCATATTAAACCCACTAAGATCCAATATCCAGAACCTACCCAAAAAAAGCAGGAAGTCACAATTACTAAATGTAAAATGTCCATTTCATTAATTGCTAAACTTGGCTTTCCCAAAAATTCCATTGAAAATAATTTGTACATTTAGTTTCTTCCCGAAGAGTTCTCAAATATACCTAATAAATGCTGGAAACACTATAATTATAGGGACATAAAAGCAGTTACTACAGATAATTTCAAAAGCAAAATGATTAAATTTCCTTCAAAATATTTTACCACAGAAAAAATTCTTTTGATATGCTGTGAAGTGGAGCCTCCATAAATGACAGTGTCAAGGGCTTACTAAAGTATTAGGTACTAATGAATTAGGACTAATTTTAAAACAATGTGCTTTTCTCTTTCAGTGTAAAGGAAATACTAACAAATGAAAGTGAATAAAAGACCACATTCAAATATTTCCTTTAATATGTACCTTTTTTCGTTTATCTTTATCCTCCTTCCAGAAATTCCCTATAGGGTCTCCCCAAATTCACATCCAATAAACAGCCTACAGCCCAAAGTGACATACATCCTGTGGATGACAGCTCTGACAGCTGCTGGTGAAAGTCCCCATGGAAATGAGAGAGAATTTTGTCTACAAGGTAAGAAACAACTTTACAGATGGTAAGTCCACCCTGATTCCTATATATGCATACTCTCTCGCTGTATTTGGCATGGAGATGATCAGGTTTTCTTTAATTCACTAATTACTTCCTTACTGCTATACTCACGCACTTGCTCTTTTCTCTAACTGGACTGCTCTACCCCTTCATTGTCTGTTTAGGGACAGCATCTGCTCAGTTTTCAAAACTCAGTGGAAGTGTTTCCTCCTCCAGGAAGCCTTCCCAAACGCACTTGCATATATTCTCCATAATGCACTATATTTGACCACTATTCAAAACTCTACTCAATAGGTAGGGATTGATATCTGCTCATCTTTATCTTCAAGGTCTAGAACAGTGCCTAGCACATAGTACTTGTTCAGCAAATATCTGTTCAATGGATGATAAGAATAATCTCAACAATAACAGCAACTATTGTATATCAGATAGTTATTATGCATCATTGTACTAAATGCTTTGCAGACTATTAGTTTGCTGGAGCTCTTGTAATGAACTGTGTGACTTAAACAGAAATTTATATTTTCACAGTTCTGGAGGCTGGAAGTCCAAGATCAAGGTGTCAGCAGAGTTGGTTCCTTTTGAGGGCTGCAAGAGAATCTGTCCCATGCCTCTCACCTTGAGCCTGGTGGCAATCTTTGTTGTTCCTTGGCTTATAGATCTCTGCCTTTATCTTCACATAGTTTTTCTTGTGTCTCTTCCCCTAAATTTCCTCTTTTTATAAGGACACCAGCCATATTGGATTAGAGGTCATGCTACTCCAGTCAGATCTCACCTTAACTAATTACATCTGCAATGACCCTATTTTCAAATAAGGTTGTTTTCTGAGGTGCTGGAGGTTAGGGCTTCAACACATGAATTTTGGGGGTGGGGGGACACAAGTGAATCCACATAACACATACTTACACTCATTTGATCCTGACCACAACCATCTAAAGTGCCTGCTTTACCTTACTGTATACCTGGCCACACTACCAGGCACTCAACATGAAATGAAAAAGGAATGAGGGATTAGGATGCCTTTTTACAAGTGTAAGGTACAGAAAGGTTATTCAAGGTCACAGAGGTGGTAAGTGGCAGAACTACAAATCAAACTCAGATTTGAGTTACTTAAGTTAAACTTGAGTATATGAAGAAGTGGTCCAGCTAACATGAGTTTCCCTCCACCAAGTTATGCTGTTCTCTCTGGAACACCCTATTGCATCAGCTTCCAGCATAAAACAAGTCGTTCTCGCTTTGTCACATGGGTATCAAGTTGATTGTTCAGGACTTTGTTGTTTCCCTCCACTGGGAAAACTGACCAGCCCTCTTGCTCATCTCCTAGCACTCCCAGGAAAGCTAATTTGTGAGCAATTAATTGGATTAAGAACTCAGAATCTTTCTATTTGTGGTACTGCAGACTTGTCCCATCTGCCCATGGAGGCAGACAGATAGATGCTAAAGAAATGTCAGGTGGTGTTGATTGTACAGGATTGTTAACAGACCTCTTATAGGGGCTGGTAGGTCTCTGACCTCTAGTTCCCCTTGCTCACCCTCCATCCCAGCCTGTCCTTCACCCTGTCAGAAAACTCTTCTGCAAGACCCCTAGATGCTGACACTTCATTTCCTGTTGCAACCCATTAGTCATTCCCCCGAGGGACTTCAAGCTAGAATTCAAACTGTTTTCTTACCAAGCCCTGTATGATCTGATCCTGTTCATCCATCTAGCTTTGTCCTCTACACACACTCGTCATTCATTCTCAAAAACAAAACCTGACTACCCATAGTTGCCTGAAAATATGCTGTTTACTACTTCCATGCCTCTGCAGTTGGGTTTAGTCTGCACTTTCCTAAATTGTTTGCTTGCTTGACTCCTATCCATCCTTCAACTCTAAACTTTTAACATCATGCTTTTCAGGAAACCTTCCTGAGCTGCTCATGAGGCCATTTCCCAAGCTGTTCTCTGCTGCACCGCTTTGTACTTGCCCATTTTTATATGTATTCCATGGCATAGTGGTTTATTGTTTACATGTTTACACCTCTGTCTCCTGGACTACACTCATGACTTCTTAAAAGACAGCAGAGCCCATGTTCTATTCATCTTTGTATCACAAAACCTAGTAAGGCCTGGTACATGGTTAATACTCAACAAATGTTGAATGAATTAATGAATAATTCCAACATCTAGCAAAATACATGTTCATAGAAAGGAGAACATTTTCAAAGACCCCAAACAGAGGGCTTAGCCAATGGTTTCATAAAATTAATAGCTACCATTTCTTGCAGGCCTCCCATGTTCAGATACATTGTCATTTGATTTAAATATACCAGCTCTAATCTTCACAACAACCTGCAAGATAGGTATCATCATTCACCTTTTATGGATCAAGAATCTAAGGTCCACAGATCACTTATCAGTCAGTGACAGAGCCAGGACTAGAATTCAGGGCTCCAAGTTCACAACCAGCGCTTTGTATACCACATCCCCTTTCCTTTTTGCCAGTGCTATAGAACCATAGAATTGGCCCCCGTAGGGCCCCTTCTCCCTAACTGAATGGACAAAAAACAAGTTGGTTTTGTGCCAGGAGCTGTGGGTAAGGCCCAGAAGGTTCACACAGCAGTATTTTGAAATGTTCACTGACAATAACTCAGAGTTTGCTGCCTTTGCAGGTAAAGGCAGTTGGGGCGCATTTGCGGCACCAAGCATTTGCACTGCTGTCATCGTGGTGGGTGTTCTTTTCTCAAGGTGTTATGTCCGGCAAAAGTAAGTTGGTTACACCTTCCAATTTTGTGTGTTTCTTTTAGTGATTATAGTTGCTGCTATGAGTCAAAGAAATGGACACTCTCATACATTGCTGGTGGCAGACTAAATTTATTCAACTTTTTTGGGTGACAGTATGGATTTAGTTTTTTAAAATATTATACCTTTGACCTACCCAATTCCTAACTAGAAATTTATCCTAAGCATTTCACAGGTGTGCAGATATTTAGTGGCAAATATGTTCACTGAACTATTGTTCATAAAAGGAAAATAATTTAAAACGACTTAAATCCCACATGATATGGGGATTGGTTAGCTAAGTCATGATGTATCTCATGCTATATAACATTATGTATCCATTAAAGGTGCAGAATTAAATGACATAATACTTTCTATAATACATTTTAAAAAGCAGGTACAGAAAACAGTGTACTCTCATGTTTTAAAAATAATACATACACACAAGATATGAGTTAGCATTAAATTTGGTTAACATAAAAAGCCAAAATAATATGACTTTTACTATTTAACAGTTTCTCACCCAAGTAAAGGAAGTAAACTCAGGTAAACGGCTGGTGTAGCAGCACCACAGTCATCAGGAAACTAGGCTCCGTTTATCTTTCTATGTAACTAGCCTGACACTGGCTTCCATCCTCAAGTTCAGCTCACGGTCCAATGGCTGCAGGAACTATAGCTATCATGCCTGCAATCTTTCAGGTACAGGGAGAAGGAAGGTGCCCTTTTCAGAAGCCTTCACATGAAGGAGCCACACATGACACTTTTGGTTACATCTCATTGGCCAGAACTTGGTGAGGTAAGGGAGACTTAAAACTGTGGTCTTTTAGCTAGGCTTATTGTCATCTCAATAAATCAGCATTCTCCTCCTAAGGAAGAGGGAAAAATGGGTATTGGGTGGCAATTAACACTCTCTGCCCCAAGGATATACACTAAAATACTAATGGAATTACATCAGAGGATAGAATCATAGTTGATTTTAGTTCTTTATATTTAACTGTATTTTCTAAAATTTCTTTAAACATGTATTATTTTATAGAGAGAATTTTTTAAATGTTATTATTCAATGCAGTTTTCTTCAGATGTCATGTAAAGTAAAAGATAAAATAAAACTAGCTCAAAGTCATTGTACTAGCCATTGAACTTGTCTGAAAGGCTTTAAATTTACTGAAGTTCCCATACGTGATAGATGAATCAGAACAGAGCACTGTTTAGGTAGACTTTGAAAAACTTTAATTCAAAAGGGTCAGACTAGAATCACATGCATCCTCTTCGGGGAAACAGTATCAGATAGGATGAAGGTTTCTGCTGTAAAAAAGTAAGAGGCCCCAAAATAAAGTGGCTTTAAAAAATAGTGTATTTCTCTTTCATATAATAGTCCTGCGGTAAGTCATCCAGGTTGGTTGGCAGCTCTGCTCCACAGTCATGTAGGGACCCAGTTTTCTCCCACTGTAGTGGCCCACCATTCCTTGGGCACTGTCCTCATCTGCATGATCTATATTAGGTCACATAACCTCTGCTCACATTTCTTTGGAGAAAAACTAGTCACATGGCCACATCTCTTGCTTTAAAGAGATAAACACAGCCCAGAAGTTTACCATTTTTATTAAACATCAAAGGTTACTAAAGCCAAGTCTTTAAAAATATTTCATATTGGTCTTGAATTTTTAAAAAACAGTCAAAGTATTTGTCACATTTATAAGAAACATTTTAATCACTTTTTTCTTCCAAATGATAAAAGTAATATAAACTCATTTTAAAATACTAAAAAAAAACCCCAGAAATGTAGAAATAAAAAAGAAGACCCTTATTTTCTCTGATCACCAAATACAACTGCTGTTAACAGTTTGGATACTTCCCTCCGGTATTTTTTTTCCTTGGCATTTTTAAAAATGTGATTATGTTCACACCATTTATTAACACTTGCATCCTGTTTTGTTTAGTTCTATTTTCAGCATAATAATTTACCGCTTTTAAAGACTCTTTATAAACATTCTAATTAACTAATTAGTAAGCTCCCCAAGGGTAGGGACCATGTCTTCTTGCCCTTCTGTCCGCAGTCTGGCACTGTGTGAGCCACACATTAGGGAGTTAACAGTGTTTACTGAATGAGGGCATGGCCAGATAATGTCAGCTAAACATTACATTGGGCAAAAGTTCCATATTATTTAGCAGACCCCAAGTAGTTGCATTATGGCTCTTATCATCTCCCGAAGGTCCACAGAAAATAGTCTAACCTTGATGATGCATCATCTTTCTCCTTCAGTGTTTATACTTCACTCACTTGCATTCCCCTACTGAAATCACTGTTGAGAGCCTGTGTTTCCATGCCCAGGTACACACTTAACCAGGTGTCAATTGTTCTCTCTCTGTATAGGGTATTTGTTCTCTTTTCAGCCCTCAGACCTCAGTGGTGTAGCAAAGAAATTCCAGACCCGGCAAACAGCACTTGGGCCAAGAAATATCCCACTGTGGAGGTAAGTAAAGCCCTAGTGGTCAGTTGATGGGGTTCTAGTGAACAGCACATCTAAGTTTCCCATTGTAGTTACAGGAGAGCTTGGGTGCTTAGATCCTGGGGATAAGCTGAAGTCACTCATGCTAGGTTACCATCTGAGTCATCACTTCCCATGCACAGGAATTTTCGGAAGCTTATGACCAAAGAACTGAGAGACACACAGCTTTTCACTCCTCTCTATGCCCTATGTTCCCCTCCTCACCTCAGCTACTTCAAAAAAGCAGCTAGTTTTGCCATTTGTTGAACACTAGCCTGAGCACTGACGCACTGACTCATTGAAATCCAGAAGAACTGAAGCATTACTGTGACCTTCCCAGTCCTGTCTGAGCACAGAATAGATAAAGCCCAGGCCATTTTGGTCTTGACAGGAAGCCAGTAAGTCATTCCATTGCGCCAGGAAGAAGTTTTAAAGGAGAGGTTGCTTAGCTGGCAGATGAATGCTGAACAGTCTGAGGAGGGGCTGACAGCCCAAAGCATGCAGGATGCCCCGTCTCTGGTGGAGGGTCGAGATGTTGGAGGCATCTGAACATTGAGCAAGCTGTGTGTTCAAGGGGAGGAAAGTGGCATGCCAGTGTTCTTCCCATTGTCCAGGGCTTGGCAGCTCCACACTCTTTCTCACACCTTGTAGCCCTTCTCCTCCAAGATGCTTCTTTTCAGTTACAAGTGTTATCTTCTCATTCACACCCTTCCTCAGGCCAGAAGCCAGTGGTACCAGCCCCTGCTCAGGAAAAGAGCTGATCTCAGTCTTGTCTGCCTAGGTAGGAATTGCAGTCACTGCAGCTTAGTGCCTTTGAAATAAGCCTTGGATGTAACACCTCACCTCTGCCACTTACTGTGGGGGAGGACCCTTGGGCAACTTGCCTGATTATCTGAGTCCTGGTTTCATCCTCTGTAAAATAGAAACTGACAATACCTCCCATGCATACTGTTGTAAAGATTAAGTAGGGTGCCATGTAAAGTACACAGGTCATACAAGGCAAAATCATTCACTTTCTTTCCAGGAAGACTTACACTTGAAGTTTCCTCTACTGAGGGGTTTTGTCACTTTAAATGTTTATATATCAAATACATGGCATATAATTATATGTAACATGCCATATACTTACATTTATATATAATACATATATTATTCTGTATATATCCACTTTAAAAAATATTTTTCATGCATTAGCATCTAAGCCATATATAACAGCTTTTTAAGGCTGTATATTTTATTTTCAGATAAGGAAACAGGCAGAGAGAACTAAGTAACTTGTCCAGTGTTAAGTCAGCTAGTAAGTGGTGGATCCTGGATTTACATACAAGTAGGATGTGCTATCCACCCTTGTACTATACATTCTAAAAGGTCTTAACGCATAGGGTGAGGAGAGTATATATAGCAGTTAACACCTATGAGCTGAACAAAGAGTTGTTCACACGCTGGACCCTCACTTGGTAGCAGTATTGTAATGACCTATGGGAATGCACTTGATAAGGATGCCTTTGCTAGTATTTTGAGGGGGTCCAAGTACCAGGATCTGAATTAGCTGAGCTTTGAGATCTCTCTTCCAATGCTGAGATTCCACAGTCCCGTGTCCTCAAAGCCTGAAATAGCCCAGTGGGAGGCAGCTCTGGGTCAGTCGCAGACACCTGGCTCCCAAGCTAGGAGCTTTGGTGTCGTGAGCTCTCTTTGCCTCTGCCTGAGCATGAGAACATAAACTGAAGTATGCAGAGCCACTGGAGGGTCCATAAGAATCCTGGAAGAAATGCTGAGAAAGACACACAAGGGGTTAGAGAAAGTAACACAGGTAGAAGATAAGAGAAATTGCCATACACATGCTCGAAGTTGTATAGTATTTAGTATGCTCATCGCAGCATTATAAATAGAAGCCAAAAATTGGACATAATGTAACCTGCCACCAGAGGGGCAGGTTACACATCTGCATATATCCACATAACCAGATATTATGCAACCACTAAAAGAAATGAGATCTTTAGATGTCTAAAAATATGAGATAATTTAAAGTGAAAAGAGCAAAGTTCGCAAACAGTTGTCTGAAGTGGGTTCTCCTTTGTATAAAAAAGGGAGATTTAATGCACACACACAGCTCCAGCATGTGCACAGGGTATTTCTCTAAGTCCCATAAGAAGCTGATAGTGGTGAGTTGCCTTTGGGGAGGGGGCTGAGAGTGTGAGGGCCACTTAATTTTTGTTAAAAATTCCCTTTGAACTTTTAATATTTATTTGTTTACTTAAACTGTGTGCTTATATTTCTTTGACAAAAATAACTGGTAAATTAGAAAAAAATGTTTAGCTTAAACATGGCATCTGTGACAAAAGCCTTGAGGCAGCCACAGAACCACGTTTCTTGACCCTTAAAAGACTGTTTTTAAAGACCCAAACTGTTCTCTTGGTGATAGGCTGAGGTAGAGATCAGAAACACAAGACTCTTTTTACCTCCAACAAAATGTGCTTTGAGTTCTCAGGACTTATATTCTGATACCATTTCTTAAGATGTGGCTAAAAAGCCCATGTCTTATAGCTCTGAAGGAAAAGGCCAAATCATAAAGGGCACCACTGGGATGTTATTCACTTTTGAGCTCGTAAAAGCTAAATAGTGTCCATATGGTACCTGAGCTAATAGTGGTCTACGAGGCCCTACCCAAGGGCTTGTCAGCCAGAGGACCTGCTTTGCAAAATGCCTGAGAAGTACCTCTATCAATACTGCCAGAGCTTTCTAAGGAGGCAGAGCCAACGCCTTACCTTGTGAAAACAGCAAGCTGCTTCTGCACCCTGTGTAATCTTCTCCCATAGCTGTTGTAGTGGCACTTGGGCAGCTCTGCTTTCCAAGGCCACCAGCCATGTTTTAAGCCAGACTATGCCAGGGCCAATGGACGTCTGTCCTGCTAGAGCACCATCATTCACTTTTTGGGCACTTGCCATGCTCAAAGACAAAGGAGGGGACATCAGAGGCTAATCCAGACCAAACCACTCTTGCACAACTTGGCATTTGACAGATAAGGCAGCCAAAAGCCAGAGAAGTTGAGTTTTCCAAACCTGTGTCAGTCTTGGGCCTAGTTCTCAGGGTTTGCTCTGTCCCAAGGCTATTTTTTTTTTGTCACCCTATACCTCCCTAGTAAGAAATGTTCCCTGCTCACAGATGGCTTTCAGACATGTGAAAAAAAAAAAAAAGGAAAGTAACAGTATAAAGCATCACATGCCAAGAACACAATGAGTGGTTTCTTCCCGGTTGTAGGAGTCCGATGGAGGCAACAGTCACTAGGGGTTTCATGAAAGGCGGTGGCAGCAAGCAGGAGATGGTGCACCAAACAGAAGTGGGTGGAGGCTGGCAGTGGAAGCAAGTGTAGGGATAGCCTTGAGGAAAAGTTTTAGTATAACCAGTATGAGGTGGTTGAAATAGTTTCTGAAAACCATGGGGAGGTAAAGGAAGATGCAGGAGCCTGATTGCCAAGCTAAGGGCTAAGAACTTTATGTGTATGTAAGTAAGCCCGAGTCCTTGAAGGCTCTGAATTCTGCTTAGAAAGATCAAGTGCTCAGTGTGAAAGATAGTTCAGAGGATGTAACGAGAATCCAATAAAGTCTATTAGGAGAAATGTTAGTAAGTGCTTGGAACTGGATTCACGAATCAGCATTCATTTGGGAAAGGAAAAAGATATGATATTTAAGAACTAGTAACTTACACGATGTTGAGAGAGATACAAAAGTAACAGACAAACTTAGCTATAGGGGAGGAAACGGATGAAAATTTCAGTTTTCAGAGGGGTCTTTATTAACAGCAGAACAAGGTTATTAACTGCCTAAAACTTTTCAGTTGTATCAATGCCCAAACTGCTCAGCATCTCTTAAAATTCCCATCACGTAACCTATTTCCAAAACTTCAGTTTGTCTTAAGATTGAACTAGCAGATTCTAGAATAGCCCAACCCTCCATGCCCACCACCTCCCTACCTGGAAATTACTGTACATCGCTCAGGATTCACCTCTAGTGTGACCCTTTTAGTCTTCCCTGACTCCTCCCCCCAACAGGGCCAAGTTCAGCCTTTCCTTTGCACCCACTATGCCCTCTATCCTAGGGAAAAACAGCTAGTGCAATTTGACTCACCAGAAAAGCTTGCTTGAAGGTTGGGCTGAGCAATGAATCACACTCACTGGCTGGGAGTTGAGGAGCCGATGGCTCCTGTCTGCCTGCCTCCCCAATAATGTTTGCTTCTCTGACCTTGCAAAGCCAAGGGCCCACAGTGACCCACTAATGCTGCCTAGGCAGTGCAGGATGTGAGGCCTTTAGAAACCCTGGAGAAGTCGGTTGTCAAGGCTACTGACTTATCATAGTCCTGAGAGCCTCTTCCTCCCTTCTAAGGAGAAGACACAGCTGCCCTTGGACAGGCTCCTGACAGACTGGGCCACTCCTGAAGAACCCGAGACCCTGGTCATCAACGAAGTCCTTCACCAAGTAACCCCTATCTTCAGACATCCCCATCACCCCAACTGGCCAGAAAAGGGACGAGGAGTCCAAGGTCATTATACCTCTGAGGAAGACATTCGTTACAATGCCTCAAGCCCCCCACCTCCAAGACCTCTCACAGCAGAGACAGGACAACTAGTGGATCTATACAAGGTTCTAGGGAACAGAACTCCTGACTCAAAGTCAGGGCACCCAGCCAGCCCCTTGGTTGTCCTCCCAGTGGACTATGTTCCCACCCACGGAGGCTATTTACCCACCAACACAGATTATCTTCCTTCACATGAAGCTTCTATAGCCGACCATCTGGAAGAACTGGAGCCTCAGCACATCTCTCTCTCAGTTTTTCCCTCAAGTTCCCTTCACCCCTTCTCCTGTGGCAAGAAACTGACTCTGGATCGGTTAAAGATGGGGAGCAGCTCCCTAATGCCGTGAATGGTAATGCTTGATGCTTGAAAAGCCAGTGTGCCCTCAACCAGCACAAACTGCCCCATCTATCCAGTCCCCGTGCCAGTGATCATCACCTCTGGGTGCTATCATCAGGTCTGGTTAACAGCTAAAGGGCAAACAGCTCAGAATGAATCTTGGTAACTGAGTTAGCTGTAACCCAGATACCCCACCTTGCCTTCTCCAGAGCCTTTTGATTATGTCCTCCACCATGTGGATGCTCCAGTCTGGGTTCCTGCAACTTAATCTTGGCTATGCTGGCCAAAAAGGGGATATGGGTAGAGTGGAAACCAAATCTCTTAATGGCAATGGCAAAGTCCAGAGGGCCATTCATGCAACAACTATTTATAAAGCAGCTCCTACATACCAGGTTTCGTGTCTGTATCAGTATTTTTCAATAGCCCTTTCTGAAACAGAAATATTCTGTACGTATCTGCACTGTTCAGTAAGCACTATGTTGGCTATCAACCACTTCGGAATGTCTGGTACGACTCAGCATCTTAATTTTGACTGTCTAGTCACACATGGCTAATGACTACTGGGTTGCAGTACAGTTCTAGATGGCTACACGAGAATTACAGGGAACCTTAAAAACAGAATAACACTTACAAATAAGGCCAGAGAAGACCCTGTGACCACTAGTAACAGGGCTCCCAAGATGATGAAGGCTGTCCTTACTTGTAGAAGACTAAGAATCTACTTTTTTCCTAGTTTGTTTAGCTTCCACCCTCTTCCAAAGAATCAAGGGCAACCTGATGGTGGATAACCACCACAGGTGCTTGGGCCAGCAGCCTCCCCTCTGAAATCCCGTACCTTGTGAAGGAGCGGGCCCTTGGATTTCCTCTTCTGTTCCAACAGGTGCTGCCTTTAGGACTTGGGCTATCTCAGGATCTAAGACCCAAACCACCAAAGCTGCCCTCAAACTTAAGGTATCCCCTTCTCCCAAAGGCATCATACTTTTCCTTCCTTGGGAAGGACTGAACTGATCCTCAAACAGCTCAAGTTGAGCCTGCAAGATACTTCTTTTCCCTAACACGAACTCTGAACATGATACATGTTTTACTCCTTTAAAGCTGTGACCCCTGCCTTGTCACTCTCCATCAACCACTGTTGCATTTTTCTCTTCCACCATAGGCACTTCTGCTAAGCTGCTGGGAAAAAGTCTTGCCCTAAATGCCATGAGTACCTAATCATCCTAAAAGAATAGGATGAACTGTTATTAAATTCCTCTTCGGCTTGGGACCTACCCTCTAACACCATCCCACTCCAACACTGCAACTGAGGCAGCGTTGGTTTACCAGATGTTCCTAAGAAATTGAAGTGATGAGTATTAACTCCACTTGTTCCTTTGTCCATGCTTCCTGCCATTTCAGACTTAAACCTATTTTCTCTCAAGCTTTCTCTGAAACGCCCAAGGCTGTTCCTACATCTTTCCCTACTCTACTATTTAGCTGTTAATGCTGCACCCCTACACCATGGTGCCTTGCATCTGGGCAGCTTCAATGTTGACTCGCCCGCACCCAGAATATGGTGCCCATGGTTTGACTGTTTGCAATGGACCATGACAAGGTCACCTTCTCAGGTCAACCTATCACCTCTTGACAATGAGTGCTTTTTCTCCCTTTGCAGTACCTTTTATTTCATTTAGTCCCTTCCCTTTCCCTTCTCCTCTTAAAGCCCCAGGTGATACTCTAATCCTTTGTTTTCCTAAAAATTTTAAATTTTTTTCTTTTAATTTAAGAGACTTGACTCCTAAAGGCTCCTTCTGGGGATTTAGAGGCTTTGCCTCCTCAGCACTCTCCAGCAAGATGCCCATTACCAATTAACTTCCTCCCAACAAGAAAATTCAAAGGCAGGAACCATGGCAGTATTTCCCCAGCATTATGCCTGGTTTATAATATGCTATCAGCAAAAGATGCAACCTGCCGCTGCTTTCACCCTGTCCCCAGTTCCTGAAGCCAGTTCAGCTGTGCCTGCTTCCTCTTTATTGGAACAATTGTTTCCATTTGTTCGTCCTCATTCCCAGTCCCCATTCCACCCCACTGTTCACTGACCATGCTGGTGTAATACAAGTAGCAATATTTTAAAGACATACTTTCATCATGCTGCTGTCAGATAATGTCCTCTTTCTAAGAATGAAATGGGTAACCTTTCCTGCCTCTACCTCAGTTTTCACAACCCCCACACCCCAACTCTCTTTCTGCCCATAGTCAAAACCCAAGTCAGGCTGCCTCATTTACCAGGATGATGTATATGAATTTTCACGCAGCCAGGCTTTAATTCCTGAGGAAAATTAGCGACTTAAATCCTCACTTCTGATACATATACCAAAGGCAACCAGAAACCTCTGCTCTGTTGAAACCTATCAAATCTCTTAATTCATAACTACTACGAAGTTCCAATTCATTGTTAGTGGACTCATGGGAATCTCCACCATTAATTATTGTGTAAAAATCCTTACCTTAAATTGTTCTTCGAAAGGGTCATCTTTCCCAGAAGGCAAAGATTCTATTTCTGGGCCTCTGCCTTCCTTCTATGCCACAGGAAGGTCAAACCAGTGTTATCTAGTCCTTTAATGCCTTTTCCCTCCAACCTTTCCTGATTTCTCAGCTTCCAATAGCCCACAGCAGCAACTCACCAATGCCCTGAGGCCAGTGAGAGATGCCAAGCTCGGCACATTCTATTCTAGTTAAACCTCCCATGTTAGATTCTTGTTTTTATTCTATGTAGGTCTTTTCCTTTCACCTGGTACAGTTGTCATCTGTCCCAATATTGCTACTAAAGCTCTTCAAAGGAGTCCTGTTTCCTCTTCTAGCCTGTAGGACTCATGGATGTTCATCTTATCCACCTTTATGAAAGGTTGATAGGTGAGCCCTCAAGTAAATCACTCCAGACTAAGACAGTAGAAGGGTCTCTTTCTCCTCCTAAAAAAGGTAAGCAATTCAATTGGCTGATGGAAAGAAACTACATCACAGCCTATGCTAGAATAAATTTCCAATAAAATTCAACTTTTACACATATACACACTAAGTTTGATAAAAAAATATTTGCAGTATATGTCAGAAATACCTTCATCAGGAGCACTGTTACAGATCATTATGAAAAAAGCCAACACTTCTAGAAAAATGGACTGAGCCACTCAAAATATGAACTACCAATAAGCATGAAAATACAATCACCTGTAATAAATGAAAATTTAAACTATTCACTTATCAAATTAACAAAATTAAGGGAAGAACAAAACCCTGGTGAGTATTAATCACAGAAACTGGCATGTGAACCAGGAATGTTAGTTGACTCCTTCCTGGAGGCCACTAAGCAACATTCAGTAAAACTCAAAAACATGTAGCTCTGCCAGCAAACACAGACTAGCGATCAGTATGATTACCACTCACTGAATAAAGGATTCACCACAGCATAAAGTGGGAAGACAGGATTAAATGCCTTTTGGTACGGACCTGGTTAAATCATTATCTATACAATGAAACACTGAATTTCACGGCATCTAGAACTCCATCAGCTTTAGGACACCCCATTACTTACCTTCTGAATAAGAAAAAAGCTAAACTGTAATACACCATCAATATGGTGGCCGCTCACCCACCCCGTTTAGCATTACTGAAATTGGGATAGATCTGAGAATTGATGAAAAGTATGAAAAGTGTACTAATGTCTTTAAAAGTATTAACATAGACTGATGCTGAAAAGGTTATAAAAGGCCAATCACTTTTATAAGTCAATGCAAAAATCTGAAAGACTATTCACCAAAATGTTAACAGTGATTGTAACTAGCTGTGTATTTTTAAATTACATTTTTGCATTCTTTTAATCACAAGTACTCATTACTTTTAATTGGATAGTCAATAAAAGTATTACCAATTTCTTTCTGAAGACTTGTTAATGGGATCTAGACACAGATACTACCAACCACTTCATGGCCTATGTCTCTTTTGCCCTCCGCCTTCTCTGTCTAGCACTTATCACTGACATTCCTGTCAGATGGTAGAAAAGGCAAGGCAGTGTAGGTGAGGGTTGGGGGTGTTAGGATAATAACTGAAGCAATGGAGTTTTTGAAAAAAAAAAAATTTATAGAACAAGCCTTGTTTTGCCTAATTTCCCTAACAGGAACTGCTAATAATGACTAATAACTAATAACATCTAACAGACTTAATACATGTTTTTTTGAAGGGATGTAATTTAGTTCTCACTAGGACTTTAGGTAGGTGTTATCTCCACTAGAGATGAGGGAACTGAAATACAAGTAACTGCAGCCACACAACTAGTACCTGACACTGGACAGTCTAGTTTCAGAGCCTAACTTTTAACTACAATTCCTTTCTATGTAAGTGAGTGATAAAAATTTACACGAATTAGATTTCTGGCTGTAGTTAACTTTAACTGTGATTCCATTAAAATCTTTCAAGCTATTTTTATTAGGTAACCAAAACCTGGCATTTCCATACTTAAGTTCTAAATCACTCTTGGGTTTTGAGAAATCCACTTAAAACCCAGATAAATTTAAAATGACACCAGGACAAATCTGGCACTCCTGAATTTGTTGCATTTATCTACCCAGATCATCTAAATTCTGTTAACACAAGACACAGGCCACAGAAAGGAAATAACACTCACAGAAGAGTCCTTTATGTTAAATTGATAAATGGAGTAAAGCTATAAAAACATGCCATTTATGCATAAAAGCAACCAGAGCAACATGTTCTCTCTTTAGTAGCTATAACCCCATTCAATTTGCCTACTGATTTTTTTCAGCATGAAGGCTGTCTTTAGCTAAAGGAAGTAGTGCTGCATTTGACTTTCTTGTTGCTTCTGTGAATTGTCCAAATATAAATGCTTCTCCTTCACTGTATGGTAACTGGCTCCACATTTTGCTAGTCTTCATATCTTTTATTTACAAGTGGCAAAACCATTCTTAAAGATGGTTCTGCTGATTTCAATCACATCTCTTTACAAACACAGAAACCTATTCTGTACTGTGCCATGGGGCCCCCTTAAGTCAACTCAGGCCACTTCAAAATTTCCGTAACTTTAAGGAATTATTCTGTAAGAGACCCTGGCCTTGCCTAGGCAAGAGAATGTCAGGTGAAGTTCAAAATACCGTCCCTTGCCAATTTCAGGCATTTTACTATCTAAGGGTAATAGGACCCAAGAAAATTAACTAAAAGAGC